GTCAGTTGGACATTTCTGAATCTTTTAATTTTATAATCCTGAAATTTGTTTGATAGTGTTGTCAACCCTTCAATGTGAGACTCCAGTATTTGTAATTCTTCAAAACCACATTTGCTTTGCAAAATCTAGAGCTGGCTGGTAAACCTCCCTGATGAGGTCCAGTTTGGGTACATGTACAGCCTAGGAATCTGTGGAAGATGTTCTGTGATCCAGAATAATGAAAGCCACATGATTAATCATCAAGCTTTCACCTCACAACATTGAAAGTATTTAAAATGGTTTTCCCTAATGTTTTGGCTGGAAACACAAAATAGAACTGATTTTTCCTGGCATTAAAGTGTTTTTTTTGGTTTTTTGTTTGTTTTTTGTAAGCTTAAGGAGTGTTCCTTTTCAGTGTTTATTTTATGGGGTTTTTAATGGTATAATACTTTCAGGAGACCATGATACACTTCGCTCTCTTTAATACACTATTCTTCAGAGCTGATGAGCATTATAGAGATTTGATTATTCATTGTGGTTCAGTGTTGTGAAACGTTGTAGTACTCAAAATATTAGTAGCACAAAATATTATTCTCGCCTCAGCCACAAAATGCATGTGCACAAAATACTTCTCATTTACTTGTGTACACAGTGTTTCTTGTGCCTACTTGTTTGTGTTGTGTTCAGCATCTGTATCATGAGAAATTCTTTTTCTGGTTTTTGTGTTTTGTCTTGTGAAGTACAATTGTCTGAAGGAATGAAACACATTTGCAAGAAATGACTTAAATGAACTATATTTCAGTCATATGGTTTAAGAAATCCTTGTATGTTTGTCTTCTGAACAGCATTTCAGGATTCTTCCTCCTTTTATTCCAGAAAGCCAACAAGATTTGAGTGCTCTATAATTTAAGTGGGGATGGATATTACTTTGTAAATATTCTGCACAACAAATTTTGGGTGGAGCTTATTGTTTTTTGGCTTTCTGTTATCCTTGTAGGAGTGGTTACAGAACTGACTTTTCTCTCCTGTACCACCTCTGTCCCCCCACAAAAAATGCAAGCAGTGGGAAATCTAATGAAGCACATATAATATTTCTCTCCAACTCTTCCCCTATTTTCTGTTTAACTCATTTTAAGGCATAATACTTGGGCCTTGATGACAGCCACATCACAGTGTTCTAGATCACAGGAAACCATAGCACAGAAATGTGCAGTATCTGCAAAACTGCTATATAGCTAATTGAGAGAGTATTTCCCCCCCTTTTCAGAAGCTTATAAACCACTTTTAAAACTAGATATGTTTAATCACAGTAAGGGCATCATTTTTTAGTTTATTGGGTTGTCCAATTAGATGTTAATTAAAAAAAAACATGAGGAATATTTAATCTTTGTGAATCCGCCCATTGAGCCACAGTGAGACCAGCCAAACATTGTAATGAGGTGCCCTGGCATTCCCACTGCCAAAGAATTTTAGAGCCTCATGAGCTGCCACCTTCAAATGGCAAATGTTTAGCTTTTTGTATAAACAGAATCCAGCTGTTGCTGAGAGGTTTTAAATGAAGAAAACTCCACTGCCCCTGTAGGGTTTTTTTTTTTCTGAACCTGTTCTGTTTGTTGCCAGTGCCTCTCTGTAGCTAGAAATAACCAAAGCTAAACTGACATCACTTATTTGAAAAAGGTGCTGGAACAGTAAATGGGGGGTGGGGGGGTTAAAATGGATCCGTGGGAGCTGACGCTTGCCTATACAATTAAAAAGACAATCATAAGAAAGCTAACATGTAAGCAGAAAGGAATGTGGCAGAGGTTTTGTAATCATGAATGTCTGTTTTTTCCATATGCCTTACTTTGGACCTAATTGCTAAATCTACTACTTCCGTTTATTTAACATCTCTATCTTTGTCAAAACTGGCTTTGTTATAAGATTTCAGTTGTGAAGGCTTTAAATTAATGAGTTGGTGTAAATCCAAAGGGAATCTTGGAGCATATAGTGTGCTTTAAGCATTCAGTACTAGGATACCTTCCATTTTAACTATTGTATAGCCATTTGTTTGCAAAGGAATCTGTCCATGAAGTCAGCACAATTCCCTGGAAGCTGCCCAGTATAAACTAATCAGAGAGCCCCCCCTGGCGTCTGAAAGTGTCCTCGGATATTAAATGTATATCAATCACAGGAAGTCTTGGCAATCATACGAGTCACTTTTTCCCTTCACATCTGGACATAAATTATTTTTTGCTGCAAAGGTCACAGGAATCATGGGTAGGGCATGGAATGAGGGCCATAGAAAACATGGGAAAGGAAGAATAAAACTACATTTCCACCTTTTTAGAAATAGCTATTTTTAAAAGGCCTGGAACAAAGCCAAACTATACAACTTTTTTTAAGTTTACATTTGTTTCTGAATTAAATGTGGCTTAAAGATATTCTGTTGTGGAATGTTTTTGCCATTAGATCTCATCTTGGCATTTGAGAGCTTTCTCCAGTTTGCTGAGAACAATAACTTTACTGCAAGATGGTTTTAGAAATGGAGCGTGTCTTCCTATTTTAGTGGGTTTTAAATACACTTTTTTCCCCAGTACTGTGTTTGCTCTGTACTTTGAGAAATTATTTAGTTGATGCTTGTGTTTTTACTACAAGTTTCTTTGTGGGTTTTTTTCTTCAAATTTTAAACTTTATTTGAAATACAGGAAACTTCTTGTATTCATTCCCCCTCTCCATGCATCCCTTCAAACAAGAACTTGGTGAAGTTTTATTAAAAACAAACAGAATCTTTCCCTTTTGACCCACAAGTTTTCCTTGCATTGGACAAGAAAACTAGTGTGCTGAAAGCTGCAAAGCTTCTGTAGCCTGTAGTTAAATAAATAAATGAAAATGTTCCATATGCATGAGAATTGAAAATGGTACTAGCTTACATCTGGATGTCTACAGCAAACAAAACGGCAGAAGTTTGTAGGTTTTTTTAATGCCATTTTTAACGGTGACTTAAGCAACCCTAATTGCTATTGTTCATACCTGCTGCTGAGTTTGGACATGCTTTCTTACCCAGATCATAGTCGTTTTGCTTGCTGATTACTTATTCATCCATGTAGGTTATGCTTTCTTTAGACAGTCAAATAAAGTATGTTTCAGAATCTGATTGCAAGAATTCTAATATTGAAAACTCATGATTAAGTCTGGGTGTCCTCCCTCTGGTTTTATTACTCTGTCCCCATTTCTGGGTCTTAAAAGATCTTTTCAATTCTCCTTTCTCTTTTGCTTGACACTCCCAGTTCCATCATCCTTCTGCACAGAGAGTTGCATGGGTGTCACTTTAAAACCCATTCATGCTTCTCTCTAAACACCCAGTTGGGTGACTATAAAGCAGTGGGGCTTTTTAGCCCTTCCAAATTCTGAGAACACAGGAAAGTGACTAAAAGTATTGAACTCAACCTCCACCAGGGCATTATTCCTAGGCCACTGGACGGGTTCCACATTTAATTCCAGTTGGTTGTCAAGACAGTCTGTGGACTACAAGTTGACCATAATCCTGTTGCAGCAACTTCTCGGCTTCTGATGCCAGTTGTATAATTATGCATTTAATAGTTTTTTCTAAACTTTATTCTATAAGGGGTATAAACACAACTACAGGTTGTACCTCCCTTAACTGGGACTCCCTGATCAGGCATAGACCATGGATGTTCCTGGACCACAGAGCTCAGGAAAAGGGAGGTCTGGTGGTGGGGGGCAGTAGCGCCATAGGGGGCACCAGCAATTTAGCTGGGAGCCAAGAGAGTGGGGGGGAGGGGAGGAAGGACAGATGGCATAGCGGGGAGTTCTGGCCCCAGCAGCCAGGGAATTCCAGCCCCAGCGGCAGCCAGGGAGCTCTGGCCCATGCTGTGGAGCTCCCACCCTGACAGCAGCGGGGGCAGGCTGGAGCCCTAGCCCAATGGCAGCACGGCCACGAGGGGAGGGACCTACCATGGTCCGGCAAATCCCCTCATCTGGGACCAGTCAGGTCCCCAGGGTGCTGGACCAGCGAGGTCCAACCTGTATTGCAAATCTGTTTTAAACGCACAATAGCATGTGGGGAAATAATGCAAGAAGGCAGAATATAGATAGAGGTGTATCTTTTTAGTTGTGCAATGTTTTTCTGATGCAACTGTGCTTATGTATAAATTCAGTTTTCGTACTGGCTGGCACAGTGTCTGAAAAAATACATTTTAAAGTATGGCAGTTGGCGTCCTTTTTCACGTGAATAAAGTTAAGGAATAAATCAAGCCCCTCTTTTGGTAAGGTTAAAGCAAGAGCATCTTGCTTCCATATTATATTAGGATTTGTTTTTAAGAAATCATTAAAATTAGGCTTTTAATTAAATATTAACATTTTTCTGCAACAGCTGTTCATTAAGAAGGCAGATTCTTTGACTGTTTTATAGATGATTCTTAAACATCCTATTTCCTCTTTCTATATTGCATTTTTGCAAGAACTCCCGTAGAGGGTCCTTGAACTCTTGATATTGTTTTCATTCCTTTAATCGGCATACAGGGAGCCCTGTTGTTTCTCTCCCTTTCTCCTTCCCATTTTCTAAATTAAAACTGCTCAAACTAAAAAAACATACTTTCCTGTGAATTTCTCATCTCGCTTCTTTCCAACTTCTATCTCTGTAATTTTGCTAGCACCTGCTGGGATACTGACATTGTTTGGATTTCATTATAATGCACATGGTTTGAAAAAATACACATCCACTTCTATTCATTGAGTTATAGAAGTACTGGCAAATAATTGTGCAACATGTAAGCCTGCAAGCAAGCTAGATCTAGCTGTGGAAACTACTATTTTTAAATGCTAGTGATTGTTTCAGTTTTAAGTTGACCAAAAGCCTTTTTTTTTTTCTGGACTGATTCCAGTTCTCATGTAATCCCTGGTCTCTCATCTGTATTCTTGAAGACTAATGGAATAGTAAAACCTTCTTAAAGATAACTTAAATGTGTTGTATAATGTCCTCAGGGTAGCTTCTGCACTAAAGATGTTTTCTTTCCCACCCTGTAGAGGTATCTCATTAAGGTATCCACTAGTGTCATTATTAAGTTTTCATGTGTTTCTCAGTTTTGATGCTAATCTTCATGTGTGTGTTAATTTTTTTTCTTTGCAGCACCAATGTGGTTATGAATTATTCAGAAATCGAGTCTAAGGTTCGAGAAGCAACCAATGATGATCCATGGGGACCTTCGGGGCAGCTCATGGGAGAGATTGCCAAGTAAGTGATAATTTGACTCAGCAGTGAAGAAAAAGATGCATCTTTATACAGAAATGTAAAATTTGCTGCCAAACCAAGAGGGATGCCAGGTTTATAGAAAGGAAGTGACAAAAACTGTAAATTTAAATGTTAAGGTTGTATGCTGGAAAAAAAAATCAATCACTGAATCAAAAACCTCACCGTAATACTTAGTCTGTTTTTAAAATATACACCATCTTACAATAGATATTCTGTGTGGTTTTCAGCATAAAAAAGATCCTGCTTGGGGCCAGGGGCTTCAATACTTTTTAAAGGTTTTAAGTGGAGTATGACAAGCTACATTTTTGCCCTGTATTTCAGTTCTTCTTTCAGAGAAGAGCTTGGATAGTGCATGGTGAGCTAGCTATGAGGGGCACCACCACTGTAATGTTGTAGACCAAGGGTGAGGAATCTTTTTCAGATTTGGGGGGCCGCTGACCCACAGAACTATGTCAGGGGCCTCACACAAGTGAAAAACAGAAACCTCCCCACTCCCAAATCCGTGCTGACGTGGCCCCCAACTGAGAAAGAAAGACACTCCCTGTATTCCTCTCATAAATCAGAGCCTAATGGGCTTTTAGATTAGAGCAAAATGTAATGGCTAGTAGATTTTGCATGCTCCAGCCCCATAGGCGACTGATTGGGGGGGGGGAGCGCTGAGGCATCAGTGTGGTCTCCCCAAAGCTGGGGGGGAGCCCTGAGCTTTGGGGACTGGATCCAGGCAAGCTGGGTGGGGGGGCAGCATTCGGTCCCCATGCCTTAGGTTCCCCACCCCGTTGTAGACATTTAAATCATCGCTTTGAAGGGAATAGATTTACCCCGACCCCCAATGGTAGATACTCTGCTTTGTTTGAAATGGTGGTGTGTGAAGCACATCTATATAAATAAGAAATGTTGGTAGCTCTTCACTTGGGATTTGATGGAATTACAGTAGTTTCAGACCAAGTCTGCCATCTACTGTCAACATTAAATTGCAGCAAACTATTATGGAAAACTCTTACAAAAATAATTGCTTTGCTCCTTTTGTTTAATTCTCTTAGAGCTACATTTATGTATGAGCAGTTTCCAGAACTTATGAATATGCTTTGGACTCGAATGTTGAAAGATAATAAAAAGAACTGGAGGAGAGTTTATAAGGTGTGTGCATATAAAAGACATTTTTAGGATGTTATTACTCTTACTGTGTATTGAAGAACAAACACTAAGGTATTAATTTTAGTTTTGTATCTTGATGCACTGTTGTGCATGTATGTATTCAACTATGCTATATTTGCATGATCAAGAAACCATAGTTGCAATAAACTTTTGTTTTTTCCTGTCGGATATTACTATTAGCTCTGTTATAAAAGTCAAATTTGTTCTGCAGTACAGAGCTTTCTAAAAACAATAGGGGGGTATGTATAATGCTGCTTAATTAATATAGCAATCTTATTTTATTGTTGAACAAGTGTGTAACAGAATAACATCTACAGTCTGTATTTCAAAAGAAATATAATTTTCATTTATGCCCTTCACTAAAAAATTCTTTTTCAAATTCTTTTAAAGCATTCTAACAGATATTGTGTCTAGCTAGAACAACTTGGAAATAATTTTATTTTAACAGTTTAAAAGTTAATGCGCATCAGCATTCTGCCTCCAAAACAAACCAAATTACCTCACTAATTTTGAAGTTTATATTTTATTTGCCTTTTGTCTTATTGGGGGAGAGAACTTCAACTGGTTTTCAGTGCTTTCTTGGCTTTGGATAACTTGTATAGAGTAGATTAACTTTTTCCTTAATATTGTTATGCTTTACTTCCGAGAGAGAGAGAGAGAGAGAGAATAGCACATAAAATATTTAAATTTTAAGGTTTAGATCTTATTGTCTCCTGTTTGAGCCTCAGATTATAACAAAAATAATTCTAAGGCGCGCACTGTTTTCTTGGGGTGCTCAATTCTTTGTACTAGTAGTAATTGTTTTCCCTGAAGTATAGGGTAAATATTTCGTACTACTTAATGTTTTAAAGACTACTTGGAATTAGCTATCAGGTTTAAATATATGGCATTTTGAATATGCGCTTTACTGGTAGACTCTGCTTCATAAAGGACTCTAGCTAGATGGAATTTACTGAGGTTTAGGAAGTTTACAATTTTAAATACTTTTTCAACTTTTACAATTTTTTTGTCCTGAAGTTTCCTTTCAGTTTACTCCAGAATAGTGTTATATGTGAACACATTCCTGTAGAGAGTAATATAAATAAGTTACCATAAAAATTACTTTTAAATAAAAAAAACATTGGGGGATTGAAGGAAGGGTGTGGTTTTTTAAAAAAAACAGGGTTAATTTGCTTTTTAAATTACCATAATCATCTTTTTCTTATGAAGATTTATTTGCTTGGAGAATTGGTTAGTATTAAATCATCACTGTCTACTTTGTTTTTACTGAACAAATGCAATTTAAATTTTCTTGTGATACTTAAAAGGGAAGAAAAAAAGAGAATCTGATGAATGGCAAATCAATATAATAGTTATTTAAAAGGGGAATAAATTTTGCTGTTGTCTAATTTTTGGATTTTAGGGTTTAGTTTTTTTATTGCATTTAAGAAAAATTCGGATAGAGCTTTTGTTCATGCAATCATTTTAATGTGCTTTGTATTTTTATAGTCTTTGCTGCTCCTAGCTTACCTCATAAGGAATGGATCAGAGCGTGTTGTTACGAGTGCCAGAGAACACATTTATGATTTGCGCTCCCTGGAAAATTACCACTTTGTAGGTGAGCAATAGAAAAATCTTATAAGCAAATTAAAACAGTAGTTGGAGTTGTCAGTCACCTGAACCAGCTTAGAAGCTTCCCTGCTCTAATTAGAATGTGACTGTTGCCGGTTGTGTGAAGAGTGCAGAATCCAAGATGTGGGACCCTAGAGTATTAATTAGTGAAGACAAGAACTTGCAGAAAAGACTGGCTAATAACAACAGAACCAACACAACATGAGTGTTCGGGTTTATATTAAAATATGCACTAGAGACTGGTCCCCTGTGGTGTCCATAAAGGAATAGCTTTAATCATATGGGAAGAAAAGGTTAGGGCTCCAAAACACACACATCTGTTTGAAGCTGGGTTTTTTTCCCTCCCACCAAATAATATTTACAGTGCAAAGCCAGCAAGGCCAATGTGTGTATTGAATGTGAAAGAGGCTGGAGAGAGAAGCAAATTTTAGTTTTTAGCTGAAAGCACTTTAAAAATTCAGTTTTGAAGTGAGACCGAATTCTAGCAATTAGTGTTTAAAAAACTGCACTAAAAAAAAAAACCCCTTGTGCTGCTGCTTAAAATGGGAATAAAATAGGAGTGAAGAGAATAGTTTAAATCTGTCTACTTCTTACTCAAACTTATTGCTGTTCCGTTAAAGACTAATGTTAGACTTTTCTAAATAAAAATGGCACTTAATCAAAATAATGCATTCTTTAGTTTAGGATGAAATTTCAATTGAAATAAAGTATTTTTGACCTCCTATTTTAGACAGGTTCAGTGCACTTTGGGTTTTTCTCATTGTTGTTTATTTTATAACTTTTACTGTGCTAGCTTGACAACGCTCAGTACTAACTACTGGTTCTGAATTTCCCTCCACTTTGCCAATAAGTACAGATGAGAATGGTAAAGACCAAGGTATAAACATACGCCAGAAGGTGAAAGAAATGGTGGAGTTTGCCCAGGATGATGATCGACTTCGTGAGGAGAGAAAAAAGGCAAAGAAGAACAAAGACAAATACATCGGGGTTTCTTCTGACAGCGTTGGAGGGTTCAGATATGGTGAGTAGAGTGCTTTGTTGGTCAGGTAGATGAGAGCAATTTGCATCCAGTGATTTGGGTTAGATGTACTGCAAGGAGCAAGTAATTACAAAATAGTAGTGTTTGAGCAGATCCTAGACAGCTAATAAATGCTCATATCCTTCTGGTACATCTCAATAGAAATGAAATATTTCCAAAATGTATTGGTGGCAGCTTCATTTAAAATCCCCATTTAGTTAATTTATTGTATGGCTTATGGTGATCCCCTGAATCCAATACTTAACTGATCTAGGTGAAAATTGGCATATATTTTGCCACAGTAGAAGTCTAATGGAAAGTAGGAATGTGAATATGTAGCCATTTACACGATATACAGTTACATGCTCCCATCCCACACTGCCTCTCTACCGGAGGCAAGGAGGGGGAGCTGGTATGCGTGGAATGCCAGCTCCTACGGAGCCGCCCCCTCCCCTCCCGCCTTGTACAAGGAAGCCGGGGAGGGGGCGGGGGAAAGCAGCAGACAGTGGTCATGGAGAGCTCACCCTCTGGCCCCACTACTGCCTCTGATGCTGGTGGCATGCAGAGAGCCAGATTTTTAAGCTGGTGCTCTGCATGTACGGTCTCCTCCCCCTGCCTCTGATACAGAGGCAGCAAGGGGGGGCAGGCAGGAGCCAGTGCACATTCCCCCACGTGTCCACTCCCATGGAGCTACCTGCCTTCCTCCCCTGATAATGCTGCCTTGCACAGAGGCGGAGGGCGGGGAAGCAGGTGGAATGCAGTGCTGGCATGGATCCAGCTTAAAGGCTGGCTCCTCAAGAGCACCATCTTCCACCTGCTCCCCCACATGTAAATGTGTAATCACTAGGGATTTCAGTGACTAGTCGCTTCCCCCCCATTACCATAATCATCTTTTTCTTATGAAGATTTATTTGCTTGGAGAATTGGTTAGTATTAAATCATCACTGTCTACTTTGTTTTTACTGAACAAATGCAATTTAAATTTTCTTGTGATACTTAAAAGGGAAGAAAAAAAGAGAATCTGATGAATGGCAAATCAATATAATAGTTATTTAAAAGGGGAATAAATTTTGCTGTTGTCTAATTTTTGGATTTTAGGGTTTAGTTTTTTTATTGCATTTAAGAAAAATTCGGATAGAGCTTTTGTTCATGCAATCATTTTAATGTGCTTTGTATTTTTATAGTCTTTGCTGCTCCTAGCTTACCTCATAAGGAATGGATCAGAGCGTGTTGTTACGAGTGCCAGAGAACACATTTATGATTTGCGCTCCCTGGAAAATTACCACTTTGTAGGTGAGCAATAGAAAAATCTTATAAGCAAATTAAAACAGTAGTTGGAGTTGTCAGTCACCTGAACCAGCTTAGAAGCTTCCCTGCTCTAATTAGAATGTGACTGTTGCCGGTTGTGTGAAGAGTGCAGAATCCAAGATGTGGGACCCTAGAGTATTAATTAGTGAAGACAAGAACTTGCAGAAAAGACTGGCTAATAACAACAGAACCAACACAACATGAGTGTTCGGGTTTATATTAAAATATGCACTAGAGACTGGTCCCCTGTGGTGTCCATAAAGGAATAGCTTTAATCATATGGGAAGAAAAGGTTAGGGCTCCAAAACACACACATCTGTTTGAAGCTGGGTTTTTTTCCCTCCCACCAAATAATATTTACAGTGCAAAGCCAGCAAGGCCAATGTGTGTATTGAATGTGAAAGAGGCTGGAGAGAGAAGCAAATTTTAGTTTTTAGCTGAAAGCACTTTAAAAATTCAGTTTTGAAGTGAGACCGAATTCTAGCAATTAGTGTTTAAAAAACTGCACTAAAAAAAAAAACCCCTTGTGCTGCTGCTTAAAATGGGAATAAAATAGGAGTGAAGAGAATAGTTTAAATCTGTCTACTTCTTACTCAAACTTATTGCTGTTCCGTTAAAGACTAATGTTAGACTTTTCTAAATAAAAATGGCACTTAATCAAAATAATGCATTCTTTAGTTTAGGATGAAATTTCAATTGAAATAAAGTATTTTTGACCTCCTATTTTAGACAGGTTCAGTGCACTTTGGGTTTTTCTCATTGTTGTTTATTTTATAACTTTTACTGTGCTAGCTTGACAACGCTCAGTACTAACTACTGGTTCTGAATTTCCCTCCACTTTGCCAATAAGTACAGATGAGAATGGTAAAGACCAAGGTATAAACATACGCCAGAAGGTGAAAGAAATGGTGGAGTTTGCCCAGGATGATGATCGACTTCGTGAGGAGAGAAAAAAGGCAAAGAAGAACAAAGACAAATACATCGGGGTTTCTTCTGACAGCGTTGGAGGGTTCAGATATGGTGAGTAGAGTGCTTTGTTGGTCAGGTAGATGAGAGCAATTTGCATCCAGTGATTTGGGTTAGATGTACTGCAAGGAGCAAGTAATTACAAAATAGTAGTGTTTGAGCAGATCCTAGACAGCTAATAAATGCTCATATCCTTCTGGTACATCTCAATAGAAATGAAATATTTCCAAAATGTATTGGTGGCAGCTTCATTTAAAATCCCCATTTAGTTAATTTATTGTATGGCTTATGGTGATCCCCTGAATCCAATACTTAACTGATCTAGGTGAAAATTGGCATATATTTTGCCACAGTAGAAGTCTAATGGAAAGTAGGAATGTGAATATGTAGCCATTTACACGATATACAGTTACATGCTCCCATCCCACACTGCCTCTCTACCGGAGGCAAGGAGGGGGAGCTGGTATGCGTGGAATGCCAGCTCCTACGGAGCCGCCCCCTCCCCTCCCGCCTTGTACAAGGAAGCCGGGGAGGGGGCGGGGGAAAGCAGCAGACAGTGGTCATGGAGAGCTCACCCTCTGGCCCCACTACTGCCTCTGATGCTGGTGGCATGCAGAGAGCCAGATTTTTAAGCTGGTGCTCTGCATGTACGGTCTCCTCCCCCTGCCTCTGATACAGAGGCAGCAAGGGGGGGCAGGCAGGAGCCAGTGCACATTCCCCCACGTGTCCACTCCCATGGAGCTACCTGCCTTCCTCCCCTGATAATGCTGCCTTGCACAGAGGCGGAGGGCGGGGAAGCAGGTGGAATGCAGTGCTGGCATGGATCCAGCTTAAAGGCTGGCTCCTCAAGAGCACCATCTTCCACCTGCTCCCCCACATGTAAATGTGTAATCACTAGGGATTTCAGTGACTAGGCCTCTAGTAGAAGCAGCATGCAGCAAGGGTGGGAGCAGGAGGTGGAAAGAGCTGGCTTAAAAGCATAGTTTCCGCAGGGGGAGTGGAGGAGACCAGACCTGAACCGGGAATCAGCTGATTCCCAACTAGCATCCAGTTCCAGTCTCTGCAACTCTGCTTTTGAAATGTAGTAAGAGCTG